AAACATGTTCAAATACAATAATTAATTACATTGTTATCTTCTAAACTTTTTTTTAGCCAAACTCATGACTACCAACCAAGTAAGACATTTTTTATAGAAAATTTATTTTCATATCAAAATAGTGCGCTTAGTTATGAAAGCCTATACCCTTCCGTTTCCACTATTCTACCTTTGACTAGAAAATTTTGTCATACAAATAATATATGATATAAATTCATTTATAGTGAAAACTATTTCTTAATTGATAATAAAATTTGTAAAATAGTCCAATCATGAGTTCACATGTCAAATAATGAAATGGGTTAGATCACTATTCCTTTTAACCTTTTAGTAACATAGACTACAAACCTCTCTTAAAAATGTGTTATCTTTTATTCATTTTCATGGTTAATACTTTTTTTTTAATTCCATGCTTATTCAAGAATCATATAACTTCTTCAATGAAATTGAAGTAAATGATATGTTTTATTTCTTGCATAACATAAACAAAGTATTTAATCAATAAGATATAAGCATTGAAACAATATATAAATTAATTACTATGAATCATGCATTCTTCACTAGATCAATCAAGTACAAGTATGGAATAAAATATGAACTTATGACAATAGCACAGGTACTTAATTCTTTCAATGAAGGTCTACAATTTCAAAAAAAATTTTAATGCTTTGAAGCAATTCTTGAGAATTTTGTTTTCATTTAAATAATCATGGTCTTACAAATATATAACTAATAAATACTCCATGTTCAATTCTAGGCTCATGGTTGTTTCAATTCATTGTCATATAATTCACATAATATGTACTTAAACCATAAAATGAGATAACACATGGAAGTATAAAATGAATTTAACACTGTTGATTAATTTTATTCATTCATTATATTTATTTTAACAGATATGAACAATTTAATAGTTACTATATATATATATATATATATATATATATATATGGTCACAACTGACAAGAATGGATATATTCTTTATACCTTTAACGTACAAAGATTTTCATGGCATTACAATTAAGCATGGCCTTTACATGTGTATTTCATCACACAAAGTAGTTCATTGACATAAACTTATATAGATTATTGTGCACACTTGTATATCAAACAAAAACAAAATTTCTTTAGTCATATACCAATTTCTCATGATAGAATCTTAAATATAATAAGCAAATCTATTATATATTATCAATAACAATATATAAAAGTTATCCCTGACCTTTAATTTGCTGCCATATCATCGATTTCACTATTTATTTAGATGGAAGTCTTTTTTTCTTAGCTTCTGTTGGATCTCAAATTCCACTAAATTTGTAGCTATGAGGTGTTTAGAGTTTTTTTTTTTTTTTTAATTTCTTATATTGGATTTCAACTTTGGATCACGTTGTCGTTGAGCGGGAATATATAAATATTGTAACATCTTTGCCCATGATCGAATGCACCTTTTCCACGCCACCAATCGATGAATGCTAATAAAAGAGTGAATCAACTACTGCAACCAACTATAATACATGACACCACCTGAGAAACCATCCAACACCCAAAAAGTGAAATAATGTCTAGAAGTGACTAAGCAACTCCAAAAGTATAAATAATTGGCAGCTGTTTAATATTATAAAAAATCGTTTTGTCATAAAAATTCCAAAAAAAGTTTTTGAATATGAATTTTGGGTTAAAGTTTTGAAAAATTTTGCAAAATTGATCCATTTAGAGAGATTCTAAAGAAATTTAAATAGTAATTTATAAAAAATCTCTAAATGAGAAAATTTTTTTCAATGTTACTAATGTATTATAACATTTTAAAAGCTTTTTCAATAATAAGATTATATTTTTTTTCAAATAAAAATGGAATAATAAAAAATAATAAAATTTTGTGAAAAAAATGGAAAATGAAAATAAAAACAAAAAACCAAGTTTGTGATAATAAAAAGAGAAACTAAGGCAATTACTTTTAAATATTAAAATTAAGATTTTTTTGTCAAGATTAATAGATAACACATAATTAATTCGTATTTTTTTAAAACAGACGCTGTGAGGATGCTAATAATTTTTCATAAATAATCGTACTCTTGAGTCTAAATTTTTTTCAGACCCAAAAAGTATCTTTTAAATAAATTTTAATTAATTTTAAAATTTTATTAAAAAGGTTAAAATTTATTAAAAAAAGTAAGTTGTAATAGGTTGTCTAATCACACTTAACTAAAAAAAAAACTTAATGAAGACTCTTTATATTTTTAAATTCGTCAAACGATTTCCAAAACCGTTATTACAAAACAAAAATATTTAAACATAATAATTACAGCTTTTATTATGAACTATTACAGATAAACATTTAAACATATTTAATAAATATAATTCTTTCATTATTAACTATTATAAGTAGTTATAACTCTTTCATTATAAATTATTATAAACAAACGTTTTTTTTTAAATATAATTATTTAAAATATGAATAATTAATATAAATATTAAATTTATTTATCAAAATAAAAGTTTTATATCCAATGTGTGATGTATAATACTCTAAATCAAAACAGCAAATAGCTAAAAAAAAATTGTATGAAAAATGGAAATTATGGACCCTATATAGGAATTCTTCTAGCTCAAATTTCCTGTATCAAAGCAATAAATTTTCAACAAACTCAATTGACTGCTACCGGATGGTTAGTACTTGAATGATAATTACAAAACAAGCAATAATGTAATTAACTTGGTTACTCTGGACACAACTTGGTCCTTTTGAAAAATAAAAATCTTTCTTGTTTCAATCCAAAATATATATAATTATATATGCTTTGTTTAGTGTGTAAGTTTGTTCTTTCCTTAAAATGATGACATGAGTCTCTACATCAATATCAGATCCAACATCAATATAAGCATACCAACTTAAGTCAACTTTATATCAATATCAACTTTGTGTTAACTTTATTAAAATTACTTTAATAAAATAAATTTCATTCACTTTATTATTACTTTATTAATTTATTTGTATTATTTTATATCTTTATCAAAAACCCTTTAATCATATTAGGTTTTATTCTTTTTTTTATTTTTTCCATTTAGACCACGCAACAAGAGACAATTCCCTTTCATCCATATATTATTTGGTTCAAATTATATCCCCCAATTCAATCATATAAGTTATGGTTCACAATAATCAGACCAAACATATTCAAATACAATAATTAATCACATTGTTATCTTCAAAACTTTTTTAAAGTCAAACTAATGACTACCAACCAAGTAACCCATAGGTTTTATCATTTTCTCGCGTGAATTTTAAATTTTTTTATAAAGAAATTCCAACATAAAATTAAAAAAATTTACAGGTATTAGAAATCAAATCTTAATCTTACTTGATGCCATCTATTAAACGATTGAATGAACCTTGCAATCTTCTATTCCATAATCTCAAGCTCCAATCAAATATGCATTACTTGTTACCCGAAACCATCTTTAAATCCAAAATTACTGCCAAGTCGGAGTCTCTTTTTGACAACCCTACACTTTTTTTTTCTACAGGCTGGTCTGCTCAATAATGAAAAGGTGAAGACAAAATAAAAAAGGAATGAGTTGAAGGAGTAATCCTTCTATTAGGTGCAAGGTATTTCCATTTTGCAAGCTGGCAGAATGAACTGTATAAAAAAATTTGTGAAGATACGTATATACCATTTTGAAATCTGTTGCCTTGCTTGCTCAATCTTGATAGTTCAACCAAAGTAGTCTGGTCTAGTTTAGTATTGTTGTTGTGATTTAAAAAAGTATGGTTTGAAAAGTGCATTTAAAAGTATGGTTAAAAAAATAATTTAAAAATTTTAAGTATTTAATATTATGAAAAAAAAAATACTGTTTCTGTATTGAAATATCCAAAAAAAAATATGTATTAAATAATAAAATTTTAAAATTATAAGAATAAAAAATAATTTTACCTGTCAAAATTATTTTCAACCGCAACACACATATTAAAGCTTTTGCGTTGCCAAACATTTTGAACTCGGAACTTAAATTTTACACCTTTTATAAATATTGAGGTTAAGGTGAAAACGATTTTTTTTAGCCCAAAATACTTTTAGACGAGGGGCTAAATGTTACTAAACATGTGAGCTGCACTTTAAAGTTTCATGCGCTTTCAAGAATTAAAAGGCATAATGACTATATTTAGTTTATAGTGCTGCATTCTTACAATTAAAGTGGACAGAAGATAAGATCTAATAGTAAATTTTTTGCAATCTTATAAAATTTTTCTAGGTTATAAGTAATTTATCTTAATTCTTCATTGACTTCCAATGGCAAAGGCAGGATTTTAAGTTAAAGAGAGTCAAACTAAAATCAAATCCGTTACTTAAAAATTTTTATTTAACATATAATAAGTTATTATTTTATCAAAAATTATAAAAATATACTTTCTACATATATATAATCATAAACAGCATATATAAAAAATTCAAGTTAGAATAAACAAAACTTCAATTATATTAATTAATTATTTTAAATTTTAAGTAACATTTTGTATAATAGTATTTATTACAAAACTAAAAACATATATTTTATATTTTTGTGTTAACATAAATTATGATACATAATTTTTATATAAAATATTATATGAATATACAAATTATTAATATTTTTTACAACATGAATAAATAAATTATTAAATCTAATTAAATAAAGAGAAACAAAAATTGTGCTCTTGTCAATTATTATTGTCACATTAACCCACTAGTAGCAACTAAATAAAAAAGAGAAATAAAATCTGTACCAAGTCATTGCTGAAGTCAATTATTATTGCCACCTTGGCCCACCAGTCGCAACCAAATAAACATGAGAAACAAAAACCGTGCCAAGTCGTTGCTGAAGTCAATTATTATTGCCACCTTGGCCCCCTACTAGCAACTAAAGAAAGAGTGAAACAAAAATTGTATCAAGTCATTGCTCAAGTAAATTATTATTTCCATCAAAATTTTTCATCAATTTCAGAGAAACCAAGCAATTCATCCCCTTTTCAGAAGAACAAGTAAGTCTCATGTCTTGTATTTTTTGCAAATTAATTAAGAAAATGCTAGTATGAAAATGGTATATGCAAACATGGAATAATGGAAATTCCATAAAATCCTTCCTTAAGTGGTAGCTTTTTTCTGTTTCGGTCATATTAGTTCATCCGAGGTAGGCTTACTTTTGAAAGTTTGGCATTTCTATTTTGTAATAATAATTAATCTGGTTTGGTGCAATTCGCAGAAGAAAGTGATGGCGGACGACTTTGTTTCCATTAACATAACTGAAATGATTGCAAAATTATCCCCAATACAACCTGAACGTTGCATTTGCAAAGTGCCTAGTTATCTTCGCAAGGTAGATGAGCAGGCCTATGAACCACATCAACTTGCAATCGGTGCTTACCACCGCGGTAAGGTTCACTTAGAAGCAATGGAAGAGCACAAGCTTCGGTATCTTCAAAAGCTACTTGAAGAAAGAAAGGAGATCAATGATGTCTCAAAATATGTTAAGGCAATGAAAGAATTAGAGACAAGAGCTCGCGATTGCTATACAGACCCAGTAAATCTTGAATCAGATGATTTCGTCAAAATGATGCTCCTCGATGGTTGCTTTATTGTTCAGCTAATTCGGATGTATTTTGACATTTCATTGAGGGTGGACAATGACCCCATTTTTGAGGCGGCCGGTTTGAGTTACTTCTTATGCCGTGATTTGTTATTACTTGAAAATCAAATTCCCTTCTTTGTTGTATTGGAGTTACTTGGTATGATTGGGATTTCCGATAAGGAAGATTTCACTAGAATGATTCTGGAATTCTTGAAGTACACATTACCAGATTCAAGGTTTTTTGAAGATGGTGTAAAGTCGATCAATGAAATCAGACATCTACTGGACTTGATACATGAATACTGGCGTCCTTCGCCTATAGAAATTGCGGCCTATCGAAATGCGAAAGAAACGGATACCAGCCTCACACGTTGTGCCACGGAACTCAAAGAGGCTGGAATCAAGTTCAAAAAGGTGAAGGGACAGAGCTTGTTTGATATTAAGTATGAAAAAGGGACTCTGAAAATCCCAACCTTGGAAATCAATGATTGGACAAACTATTTGCTTCGGAATCTCATTGCCTTGGAGCAGCTTTCCCCGTACCGATGTATAAATCATATCACGGATTATACCGTATTCATGGACTGTCTTATTAACTCAGCAAAAGATGTGGAAATACTCACACACTGTGGAATTGTTGATATCAATTTAGGTGACGACGAAGCAGCTGCCACCATGTTTAATAGGCTTACTGACTCAGTATTCTACTCCTCCTCAACCTACTACTACCGTGAAGTATCTGACGAAGTGAACGCATATTGCAGAAAACGCCAGAATAAATGGCTTGCCAACTTGAATCACAACTATTTCAACAGTCCTTGGGCACTTGTTTCCGTTCTTGCCGCTGCTGTCATCGTTCTACTTACCCTCATGCAAACCATATTTTCTGGAATTGCTCTTTGAAATTAAGTATTATATATATATATTATATGTAAATTATTGAAAATACTTTTTAAAATACAATTATTTGCTGTGAGTGATGTGAACTTATCTTTTGTGTAATATTTGTTTAAGAGTGATTTGAAAGCAATCGGTTATTGCTTTCTGCTTTTTCCTAAGACTTTATCTTGCTGTTTTCTTTTACTTTATTTTTTATTTTCTTATCATCTACAATTCAAAACAAATGAAAAACAGACAAAGAAAATCAAAAGCCCAAAAAGTAAAATCGACCTTTCACTTGTTCAAATTTTCATTATTATCTCACTTTCACATTTCCATTCCCAAGTCCCCACCATATTTGCTTCTTCTACACAAAATTACGCAGCCCTCCCCCGTGCATTATCCCCAACTATCTACATATCTGTGCCACGTGTACCATTATCACCATTCACCATTGATTTCCTCTACGTGTCCAATCAGACAAGCGTCTTGCGCGTTGGTGTCTGTGGATCTCGCATCGCCGGCAACTTTGACAAATTTCTAAGGATTTGATTTTTTTTAATTATATTAAATTGTTCACATTTTAGGTCCTTCAATGAAAATTATATAAGTGTATTATTTTAATTTTTTTTTAAATTGTATATTCCATTTTTTCATTATATCAGTTAAAAATTATTCGTTATTGTATTAAAATTTTTAAAGTTATTATATTAAGTAATATTTATTTAAAAGTATTAAAATTATTAAATTAATTATTATTATTATATTTAATATATAAATATTATTATAAATTATAATTTAACTAAATTTAAAAATGACTTAAGGAACTTCATTAGCAAAATTCACATGATAAATCTTTATTTAGTTATGTATGTAGCATTTTAATCATTTTGAATTTTGAATTTTAATAATTTTGACTAAAATTTTAAATTTAGGGTCAACGGTCAATTAGGTTGCGTCATGATTTATCATCTACTTCTGTTTATAGTAAACTCAATTATTCACTTATACATTTGAGTAAATTTGACTCAACAATTTGTACGTATTTATCTTTATTTAAAAAGTTCAATTCAAATCATCCTAAATCCAAATGAAAAAATAATAATATACTAATGATATATTCAATCACTTATAATTACAATTTCACTTTAGAAATATTCTTAAAAATTAATTAACTAATTAAATAGCAAAGACAATAAAAATGAGACATTTAAGATGAAGGAAAAAAGTGTAAAAAAATTTAAAATTTAAATTGATTAATTTATATTATTTTTAGCTATGCTTTATGACACAATAATGAACTTTAAAATAAAATGAGAATACAATACAATAAAAATTTAAGTGCAAAAATTATGGAGATACTAATGATAATTTAGAAGAAAATCTTTATACCTAAGTCTTGCAGAGATTAAATGGTATATTTTCTTTTAAGGATTTTGAAATTAGTATTACAAAAACATTAATTTAGATCAATGAGTTTATAATCGTTTATTTACTTATCAATTTGCTATTATATGAGTTGACAGAAACAATTTAAACATTTCATTTGAAAGAGATATTATAGTTCATACTTATTCAAGAAGACAATATAGAGTTAAACATTATTTGAGTTGTTATGACCCTTTAAATATTCTTTACTCTTTCCAAATGAAAAATTGGTAGGTATCAAAATATCAATAAAGTAATTCTGAATATGGTAATAAGAATGAAGTAATAATGGGAAATATACTATCTTTTCATTTACTAGAAGAAATTTTTGAAGGAAAATATGAAGGCAATTATTATGAACTTAATATTTTTTAAATTATTGTCTGTTTATTTTTATAAGTTTTATTTAATAAATTTTTTTCCCATTACTTTTATCATATATATAACAAAATTTTTACCAAAAATTATATATATATATTTAAAGATAGAGACATAAAGTAAAGTTTATTACTTTCATTGTTGGTAAAATTTTTCAAATTTCAATGTTTTATATGCAATTGTATTTAACTAAGAGGAATGAAAATATGTACATACACTAATAACTCAATAAAATCATCAATAAAACTTATTTTAATATATACTATTTTATCATGAGCTAAAAATTTTGAAGAATATCTTAGAAATATTAACTTAAAATATATTGTATATTTTTATTTAATTTAGTTTGGTACTTGCATTAGTATCAAAATTATAATAATATAGTAGTAAATCATTAATAATTTTATAGTAAATAATTAAAAATTAAGTAGTAAATTAATGATAATATAGTAGTAAAAACATAATAATTTATTGGTAAATCATTGACAATTTAAGAGTAAATTATTGATAACTTAGTAATAAATCACTAATAATGCAGTAATAAATTACTAATAACTATGTTATAAATTGAAGATAATTTAGTAGTAAATTAGTTAATAATGAATAACTTTGCAGCAAATCATTGAGAAATTAGTAGTAAATTAGTTATTACTTTATAATTAATCATTAATAACATAGTAGTAAATTATCAATAATTTAATTGTAAATCATTCATAACGTAATGTAACTTATTTTAATGGTAAATCATTCATAAATTATATGTAAGTATTTGATAATTTAATAGTAAATTATTGATAATTTAACAGTAAATCACTAATAACATAATAATAATTCAATAATAATTTAATTGTCAAATCATTGATAACTTTTTTATACTTAAAGTTGCTAGAAATTGAACTTTGATTACTATTAGAAATGAAGCCAGAACTTTCATCTTAGGGTTAAGATAAACCTACCATAAAGTTATTCAAATAAATTTAGTAAAAAAATTTAAATTTTAAATGAAGTAATAGTCTTATTATATAAAAAGAAAATTATCTCATATATTATTAGTTAAAATTTTAAACCCTACATTTCATAATTGTAAATGCAAAACCACGTATTAGTAAATCAAGAATAGTTTAATAAAAATTAAGTGATAATTTAGTAATTAATCATTGATAACTTAGTAATAGGTCAATGATAACTTAATAATAAATTAATGATAACTTAATAAAAAATTAGTTTTAGTTTAATAGTAATTAATTGATAAATTTAGTAGGAAACCATAAATAACTTAATAGTAAATCAATGATAATTTAGTAGTTAATTATTAAAAACTTAAAAGTAAATTAATATAAGTTAATAGTAAATCATGGATAATTTAATATAAATTAATAATAACTTGGTAATTAATCATAGATAATCTAGTAATAAACTTTTGATAATTTTGTAGTAAATAATTGAGAAATTAAATAGTAAATCAATGATAACATAGTAATAAATGCATAATAACATAATAGTAAATTATTAATAATTTAGTACTAAATTATTAATAACTTAATAGTAAATCACTAAAAATATAGTAGTAAACTGCTAATAATTTAGTTGTAAATCAATGATAATTTAGTAATAAATTAGTTAATCATTGATAATTTTATAATAAATAAGTAATAATTTATAATAATTATCAGTAAATTAGCAATAAATCATTAATAATTTAATAGTAAATCATTTATAAATTAGTAGTAAATCGATTATAATTTATGAGTAAATCATTGAGAGTATAGTACTTATAAATTACTGATAATATAGTAATAAATTAATAATAACTTAATTATCAATCATTAATAATTGTTTTTGTACTTAAAGTTGTAAAGGATTAAACTTTAGTTACTAATAAAAACAAAATTAAAAATTTATCTTGAGAGGTTAGAATAAAACTACCATGAACTTATTCAATAACAAAATTTAGTAAATATATTTTAAATTTGAACGGAGTAATAATGTTATTATATATAAAAAAAATTATCTTATACTAGAATGGAACCTGTATTTGTTGTAGGAACTCATTGTTAGAAATATGATAACATAAATTTTATCCATAATTACAAAAAATATATCATAAGTTACCAAAATTACATCAAAAGATTAGCAAAATTTTATCAAAAAATTATTAAAGTTGCATCAATGGTTACAAAAAATTATTTCAAAAATAGTTACTAAACTAATATAAAAGGTTACTAAAATTTATCGAAAGTTACCAAAATTTTATCAAAAGTTATCAAATTTTTAATAAAAGTTATCAAAGCATATAAAAGGTTATCAATATTGAAATTATATCAAAAGTTATTAAATTTTACTTATATTATATCAAAATAAAAATTAAATTATTTGTATTTATCATTATTATCAAAATATTGAAAAAAATTATTTATTGAATTTAATTTATATATATAAATTACACATGTATCATGCACACACCTAAAACTTTATGCATATATATATATATTTAAATTTATATAAGTTTCAAAGAAATTTCTTAGGTCTTACGCTCCCATTTTGCACTTTCAAACCACTAAAGGCACAAAGAGAAACATATACAATTAATAAAGCTGGAAACTTTAGCACAAGCTGTTTTTCAATTTTTAATAGTGCATAATATATATAATTTACACGCTTGTGATAAAATATTCATCCTATCAATCTTGAATAATTACAAGTGATCTTGTTATTGCCCCTTTACTATGTATTTGGTAAAAAGAAATAAAAAAGGGAGTAATACTAGATCAATCCGAAGAAATAAAAAGCATATGATGACACAAGGCCCAAACAGGCAATGATTCTGCTAATATTGCACCTATTGGGAATATTGACTAAAATCCCATGAGCGATTTGTTAGAGATTTATTTGGGATTTGTCAGATATTGCTTGATGGACAAGAAGACTTACAAAAGAAGAATTCTAAGAGAAATGGGATTCTTAATAGGTAAGTTTAACTTGCAAGAGAAGAATTCTAAAAGGAAAGGGATTCTTAATAGGCAAGTTTAACTTACAGGAGAAGAATTCTAAGAGGAGAGGGATTGTTAATGGGCAAGTTTGTATGGTTATAAATATGTGAAGTCTCCACAGGGTTAGGTATGAGAAAAAGATGTAAAAGAGTTATAGGATTTTATGGGATAAACACCCTATAGGAGTATTAGGGCTCTACATCTTATGGGTGTGTATGCTTGTTTGTG